CTAGGTGATAGTTCTTGATTACTTTTTGATAAATAATTCGTTCTTATTGCGAAATAGGAGCACTATTTATCAATCTGTAATAGAGGACGTGAGGAAATTCTGTCTTTTTTAAAAACAMAAATTTTTAAGGCRAAATACCCAAAAAGAAGTTTGTGAAAAAATGAATCCGCCTCAACAATATATAACTTATCTACATAAAATGCCTTAGAAACCTGATGATGGATTCGRCTACGTCCTACCTACATGGATGATCAGCGAATCTAGTCGCTCTTTGAGTGAATGTGACCGTTTCCAGCCGCATTCTCCTCACTGGAAGCCGCGTCYTGACCCTTCACAGTGAACGTTACGTAGTAGCGCTTGTTCTGATCCAGCTTATCGGTTGGCAGTGAAATCACCTGTTTATCRGTACCGTGGCTCAGTTCCAGCATTACGGCCTTCTTCGGGTTGATGCTGGGCAGGAACCCGGCCGTGCCCGGTTTGCAGTTCGTCGAGTTGCTGAAGCCGATCTTGGGAATCGAATGATGGTCCATTTTTGGCACTAGAAACCACACATTTTCCATTATCAACCCCCTTTTCCCAACTGGGCAGCTCACAATAGGCAGCGCACGGTACACCAGTATATGCGTGCGTGGCGTGCATGCACCGATGCGTGCTCTGAGTGCACAGCAGCGGGTTGACGTGCTCAGAACTATCAGGAAGCCCCTTCAAATGGGCCATGTCGAGTTTCTGCAACTTCCGCAGCGACTCGTAGAGGAACTTCTCGAAGCTTTTGAAGCTGAAATCTTCCGGGATGTAGCGACCGGCCCCCACTGTGGAGGCACATGATTGGTTGTACTGGTCGATCGCTCGTTTCACCAGCACCGTCTCATTGTGTTGGCCTGCACGGATTTGGCTGCGTTTCAAGTCGAGCAAGTGCTGGAAGATCTTCCTTTCCAGGTGGTATCTGGAAATGGGCGGATGCGTTAAAAAGCCTCAGAACATTGGGGTTTGTACCTTCTGATGTTGTTCTGGATGCTTCTGGTCACTGAGGACATATTAACGCCCCTGTCGGAGACGTTTTTCCACTTGGGAATCCTGCTGCTTCGAGGGCTGGGCTCGAATCCAGAATCGATCAGATTGCTGCTCTCGTAGTCGCTGCCGGCACTCCTGGACTCGCGTCGCTTGGCCTTGGGTCGCTTCTTCACCTTCTTCTTCTTGCTGGGGCTCAGTCGCGCGTCCTCCTCCAGATCGGAGCCGCTTTCTGCCTCATTTTCGCTGTAGGCCAACGGCATAATAGGGGCGGACAGGTTTGAGTCTGGGCGCAGATTTGGCCTGGAAATTCGGTTAGACGGGCTTTGCGGGTTTTATCAATGTTTCGGCGAATATTCTGAGCTTACCGATGGCTCTGATGTATATTTGGAAGCGACGGAACTCTGCAATCGGCGCCAATCTGCAACTGTTCGCGCTCCACTAGTCGATCCAGCTGCCGATCGCTCTTGGAAAGTGGAGTATGGAACGTGGCTGTTGGAATATGACTGCGTCTCATCCTGGGCTTTTTCTGCTTCAAGTCCTCGGACTTGGAGTGGAGTGGCAGCTGCTTCGCTTCCTGCATGCTGAGCACTTTGAAGCTCTTGTGCACCTTGCTGGCCTGCTCCATCGAGTCGCTTAGAATCTCCGACGAATCTTCGGACTTTTGCCTCTCGTTGTCGCTGAGGATTTTCATTATTGCTGGCTGATCCTGTGCGTCCAGCTCTGGAAGTTTTGGAGCCGGCAAGTCGAGGGCTGGGGCTTGAGGGCTTTCTGCTTCTTTGGCAGGCTTCTTTACCACTGCAGCTGTGGTAAGTGAGGCGATTGTAGCCTGCTCCACTTCCTCTGCTGGTTCTGCAGCTGGAGGCGCTGCAGTTGTCGCAGCTGTTTCTTCTTGGGAGGCTGCAGCTGGTGCTGCTGTTTCTTCCGGCGGGGCTGCAACTGGCTCTGCCTCTGCAACGTCTTCGGTAGGAACCAATTCCGCAGCTTCAGCTGTCTCTGCTTGGGAGGCAGCAGGTTCATTTTGCACTCTATCGATATTTGATTCCGGCGGTTTTTCCTCAACCAGTTCGGGAGTTTTTAGAATGCTCTTAATCGACTCGATGTTTTTGGGCTCCGGATGGACACTGGCTTCCACGACCATCTCGCGCGGGCCTTCCAGTTCTTCGCTTGTATTGGACAGTTCTTGCAGGGTGGTGATCTTCTCCATTGAGGATTGGCGCATTTCTGCTTTGAGCGTTTCGGCCTTTTGCTTGTAGGTGTCGATGACTGTGTCCAAAGTGTCTTCCGAAGTGGCCAGTTCCTTGTCGCTGCACGATTTTTCTTTGTTCAGGTTGCAGGATTTGGCGCTCTTCGCCGGCCTCTCCTTCTCCCCAGCTGTGCTCGGGAGAGTGATGGTTTCGCTCGAGTCAAAGGCGACTTTCCTCGGCGAAGCCCCGCCCTCATCTACCACGATTTCGTTGGTCTGATGAATGTTGATTTCAGTCCTTCCATTGATGACGATTTCGTTGCTGTAGTCGATCCTGCTGGAGGCTGATTTCCTTGGCGTGGCCTCCACTGTGATTGTTTCTTTGGGTTTAACCTCGCCCTCACTTTCCGACTTTCCCTCACTTTGCTGAGGTCGCTTTTTCCTGCCTTTGCGCTTGTGGAGGCGTTTCGATGCTTTGGTGTCGCGCTCGCTTTCGGAACTGCTGCCGCCCCAAAAGGCCACGTCGTCTCTGATCCGCAGACTGAGCGAACTGCTCAGAATCTGAACCTCGGAGCCGTGGGCGGAGAGCCGATTGGCTGGCACCCCTCCATGCAGCTGCAGATACTTGGCGGTGGATCGGAAGCCTCTTTGGAGTGCGCAGTCCAGTGGCGTCATGAAGACGTTCTTGGTGGTGCGCAGAACGGGATTGATTGCTGCTCCTGAGTCCAGCAAAATCTGCAATTGGGAAATTTGTAGAAGACTTAGGAGGAAGCTTAAAAACTTAAGCACTGCCGTCTGAAGCAAAATTGTAACAAATTAATGAAATAATGGAACGATCTGGCGCTAATGCCGCATAAATGATCCGTCGTCAGCACTGGCTCAGATCGAGAACATCACTTTAAATGAACCAGAATTCTCAGGAAAGAACCTAAACCCGCTCCTGGAAAATCAATCGAATTTTTGAAATTTTTTAAAAATGTTTGCATAGTGCACTGCAGGTTTCTAACTGGGGCTGTTCACACGATATTAAAAGCGGAAGACAAACTTGTAACATTTTTAGAAATGATCAAAAATTGCTTGATGATGACGCAAATTCCAAAATTTTCCCATTTATATCAGGGATTTTGCTCTATAACGCTGGGCGTTCAGAATATTTATAACTTTGGCAGTTCAAAAGCTGTCTTATGTAGAAGACAAAACCGCTCTTAGAAAGTCAAACAAATTTTGAAAACTTCCCAGACATTCCGTAATGAAAGCGCAATCTTGCAACTTTGAACACTTATAGCAGCAACTATGGTCTATAAAATATGGCAGTCAGCAGGTTTACGGCTCTGCCTGCTGAAAAGTTATCAAATGCGGAAAACAACCCTGAACAAAACCGCTCTAAAAAATCACAGTTCAAGAATTTGTGAACAATTGCCTGATTGTGGCACAAATTGGGAACTTTCCTCATCTCTACCGGTTCAGAATATATGAAAAAGCAACCATTTGGCTCTAAAAAGCTCGATCAACTTTCTTCCTCTAATTCCAAATTTTGCATTGCATGCATGGCATCTTCAGAGGTGTAATTTAGTAGAATTTTCTTTAGAAGTTAAAGCGACGATTTTGGGCTCAGCAGATTTGCATGTTAGAGGGGGCAGTTCTGTGACGTTCATCTGCAAAGTGAATCAGGGACCACATGATTTGAACACCGTTTTTTCGTATAGAGATAGTAAAATTCTGCAGCCAATTGAAAACAATCAGTTTCAACGAATAACTGTGCAGGTCAGGATTAAAATGCAGTTTTTTCAGCAAAGAAACTGACTTCTTTGCTTTTAAAAACACATTTCTATTTGCTTTTAGTCCCACTGGATTATCTTCTTTATTGCACTGTGTTTTATTTTGGTTCCTTAATATTCAATCACTCTGTATATACACGTATATAACGCTAAGGACGAGTTTTACTCAAAACTGTACAGTTAGCGAGTTAATTTGCAAACGTGTGTTTAAATTAGTCTTAAAAAGTGCATATTGGACAGAATTTTCGGAAATTTTTCAAAAATTAACATCTTTTATACAGGAACAACTGCTTCATTTGCAGGATTTAGCATTGACAATTAGCATGACGCATGCTCCAATATTTAGGCTTATTAAAATGCAGGAGTCGTTAAATCGAAATTAATGTCGTGTGTGTCATACACGCACGGGTTATGGAAAATTAATTTTGACCTAAAATAATTTTTTCGGGACTTTTACCTCGAAAATTACGATTTTCTCAAAAACCGATTACAAAACGAAAAGTTTTAAATCAACAACGCAAAAAACATAATTTTCTGATGATTTTTCTTATTTTCTGACAAAAATGGGGTCTTTTCAAACAAAAAATTTGCTTCATTCATCGGTTTGCAGGGAACGTTAGAAAAGTTATTTCAGCTTTGAATTTGGCACAAAAACCAAATAATTTTATTCAGTTTTTTTACCGCAGGTAATTAAGATTATCTTGAAAAAACGGCCAGGGGGTAAAAGTTTCCAAAAAATTATTTGGAAAATTCGCTACCCTCGTTGCTCTGACGATTTTTCAACTTTCTTCAAAGTTTCAGGTCATTCCAGTTTTCGCAAAGTTTCTATTAAGCAATTTTTGCTACGCAAAAAAAGTATTATTTTTAGTTTTACTTAAAATACTGACAATCTTCAGGTATTTTCTGTGAAAATTATGAAATACGTTTTATTGGACCACTCGGCTCCTGAACAGGTTTGTAAATTTTTTCTGGAACCTTTCGCAGCTTCGAGTTTTGGACAAAACCCTTATA